AAGATTAACCTGCAGAGCTGACGTCTTTACTAAGCGTACAGCAATCGCCCCAAAGCTAAGAAACTTGTGTTGGCTTATGAACCGTAACTCGCTGCGATAAACTGACAACAAACTTCTGCTGTACTCTACCGTCATAAAACTGATTTGGACCTACGGTATTCAACTATGGGGTACAGATGCGTGATTTTAAAGGTGTTTTTATTTAATAAGTTGTGATTAATTGGTTAAAGTTAAAGTAATTAAGAAAGTTATAACTAATAGAAATAAAAATTTCTTGAAGTGGCTGCTTTAAGGAGAATAGGAGTGATAAATGTACGCTAAGTTCCGATTTTTACAAAAAAGGCATATTTCAAACCTAATTTATAAATAAATTAGTGGCCAAACATTACAAAAGTAGGTGTTAAAATAATGTGTAGACCCTTGACTACAAGCGTGTTTTTTTGGATCGGGTCACCCCTTTGGACGCAATACCCCGAAATAGTTAGCCCACCTACTAAACAGTACCCGAAAATAGATAAACAAGCATATTTATTATAGTTTAGTTTATTATGGTTTTCAACTAAAAATAAAATGTGCTTTCTTTCGGGTTCTACTGAACTAATCGAAATACCTCTTTCGGACAAGATTCATGATTTTTGACTGTCTTTAATATACTGTCATTAGGGCGGCACGCTGGGGTGGTAGCAACTGAGATCTGGTGGGTAAGTACCACAATGGAGCACATGACGTCATTGAGCTTCCGTAGAAAAAAGCCCCTCCGCGAGGCAAAAATATTGGTGTATCACACTTTAAAATCCGACTATAAATGCCGAAGATATAAAGAAAAATGTAATTCGGTGACTACTAGGGTTGTTAAAAAAAAATTTATTTTTTTGTAAATGCTTTTCAAAAACACATCATATGAGGAGGTGTGCGGCTAACTTTTCTTTTTTTGCCTGTAAGGCGAGACGCTAAAGTATACTCCAAGCGTACACTTTTCAGTATATGGTGTATCTGCATGTTATTTTATTACCAGTGAACCCGCAAGGCGCCAAAGCGCCAACATTTAAATAAATTTTTTAAAGAGGTTAAACCTATTCAAAAACCTCGAAAAATATTCCTAATGATCAATCTAACCATTTCTGAGTGATGAGAGGTATCGCATGGTGTTGGTTTTCATGTAACTTCAAAAAATAAAACCTGTGCACATCTATGTAGAATCCTAGTTCTTTAATTTGACTTCTCATTTTGGAAATTCGAAATAACGTTGCAGATGTGATGACCTTCAAAAAAAAAATAATAATAGATGGCAATTTTAATTAAAAATATTATCAGCTTATAGTTTCCTTAAAACTCTTTCGCTTGACACTAATATTTCGATAATTCATTTATGTATCTTTCGTATATATAAAACAAATTTGAATTTTCAAACAGGTGGCAACCTCTTTAAAGGTATTTTGAAACTAAAATCTTTCGCCTGGCATTGTTTACATATTTCAATTTACTGATGAATTAAGTTGAATTTAGTTTTTTTAAAACACATGGCAACTCTCGTAAATACATTTTAGAAATAAACTATGTATTTTCAAACCCATTTCGATTGATACCCATCTTTTGACAATCCTTTAACTTATTAAATAATTAAATTAATTTTTTCAACAAAAAAAACAAATGATCAATTTAAAGATTTCTTAACACTCATTTCATGTAACTTATGTATAATTAAACAAAATACCACTTTCAAAACAGGCGACAATCTACTTAAAAATTATTTTCGAACTAAAATTTCCTTACATATTTTTCGCCTGACATTGTTATAAATATTTCAAGTATCTGATGAGTTAAGCGGAAATTCATTTTGTAAACACGTGGCAACCATCCTTAACATAGTTCTTAAATAAAGGATTTTAAACCCATTTCCGTTGAATACCATCGGTTAGTAATTAATTTAACTTATTAAATTATTTTAGTTTAGCCCTTTAAGCTGGGCAACCCTCAAGCACATCAAAAATGTTCTAAACTATCAAGCTAAGTATTTCTTGAAGCTCTTTCATTTGACATTCATCGTTAATCTTATCTTACTAATATTATAAATGTGAAAGTTTGTATGTTTGGATGTTTGGGAAATCATCACGCGGAAACGACTGAACGGATTTGTATGAAATTTTGTACGAGGATAGGTTATGAGCCAGATTAGTTAATAGGCTATTTTTTAAAAGTTGCCACCTGTTAAAAAAGTTTAATTTATTAATTATGCGGGAACGACTGAATGAATTTGCATGAAAATTTGCACACAGATAGCTTATGACCTAGATTGGAAAATTGGCTACTTTTCTTAAGAGTTGCCACCTGTTAAAAAAGTTTCATTAAATTAATACGCGGAAACGACTGAATGGATTTGCATGAAATTTTGCAAGCAGATAGCTTATGATCTACAGTGGAAAATAGGCAATTTTTTTGGAAGAGTTGCCACCTGTTAAAAAAGTTTAATTAAGTTAATACGCGGAAACGACAAAACGGATTTGCATGAAATTTTGCACACATATAGCTTATGACCTAGGTTAGAAAGTAGGCTACTTTTTTTAAGAGTTGCCACCTGTTAGAAATATTTAGTTTAATTAATACGCGGAAATGAGTGAACTGATTTGCATGGAAGCTTTCACACAGATAGATTATGAGCTAGGTTGAAAAATAGGCTACCTTTTTTAAGAGTTACCACCTGCTAAAAAAGTTTAATTAAATTAATACGCGGAAAGGTCTGAACGGATTTGCATGAAATTTTGCAAGCAGATAGCTTATGACCTACAGTGGAAAATAGGCTATTTTTTGGAAGAGTTGCCACCTTTTAAAAAAGGTTAATTTAATTAATACGCGGAAACGACTAAACGGATTTGCATGAAATTTTGCACACAGATAGCTTAGGACCTAGGTTAGAAAGTAGGCTACATTTTTAAGAGTTGCCGCCTGTTAGAAATGTTTATGACCTACAGTGGAAAAGGACCTACAGTGGAAAATAGGCAAATTTTTTCAAAGAGTTGCCACCTGTTAAAAAATATTTAATTTAATTAATATGCGGAAACGACTGAACATATTTGCATGACATTTCGCACAGAGATAGCTTATGACCTATGTTGGAAAATACCCTTATTTTAAGAGTTATCACGTATTAGGAAAGTTTAATTGAATTAATACGCGTAAATGACTGAACTGATTTGCATGAAAGTTTGCACACAGATAGCTTTTGACCTAGACTGGAAAATAGGCTACTTTTTTAAGAATTGCCACCTGTTTGAAAATGAAATTTAGCTCAAAAATTGTTTATGACCTGGATTGAAAAATAGGATACTTCCTTAACCGGTTTTCCGACCAGAACGAAATTTTGTACACTTACTACGGATTTCGGAAGGATGGTCTTAGACCGAAAGTAAGTCCGATAACTCAAGGCCCCTCCCATACAAATTTGAACTTTCATATTACATACATATCTCTGGAAGTATTTGTGGGAGAGAACTGAAACTTGGTATAGTAATATGTATGTGAAATCAATGTTGGCATTAATCGATTGATGTTTTAATCAGTTAGTTAATTCGATTAAATTCAATCTGATTACAGTTAATCATGATTAATTTTAATCTGACTAAACAGTTAATCGTAACCGCGATTAAAAAATTAATTATTAATAATTAACTCTTAATTTGATCACGTAGGTTTGGTGATTAATTATGTTATGCTGGTATTTCCCTGTGCACACAAAGCAAGTTAATCCGGTATGGCTAAGTCGGGTTTCCTCATCAATCTAAGCAATTCGGTGTGCATTTTCATTAAGATATATACCAATAAACGTTTTACAAACTTGGTTTGAAAAGTTTCCAGTTTATGTATTACTAATAACAATTTTGTTTATATTATGTGCTTTTTATAAGTGTAAAACACAAAATAATTACTATAACTGGTGTTTGGTTTCAAATTCGGACAAACTAGACAACTTAATCAGATTTTATTTTTAATTGGATTGACGATTAATGCTTAAAATTAATTAATCGTAATCGCAGCCAGCGATTAACGATTAAAAAAATTGTATCATTAATCGTACAGTTGATTACGACTAATTAATTTTAATCGTCAAATGCGATTAACATTTTAATCGTTAATTTTTAATCGTTAATCAGATTAACATTTTGCCAACACTGTGTGAAATCATATTCATATTCACGGGGAAAAATGGGCGTTTTTGGAAAAGAGGCGTAGCCCCTCGCATACTGACTGAAAGTTTCAGTTGCATATCTCTTCAAATGTTTGGGGTAAAGTACTCAAGCTTGGTATGGAAATACATACATATGTATGTATGTATGTGAAACTAATACCATACTCATAAAGAAAAATGAGAGTTATTGGAAAAGGTGGTGTGGCAACTCCCATGCAAATTGATTTTTCTATGCTGCATAACTCTGCAGGTGTTTATTGCAGAGGACTGGAACTTGGCACCGAGATGTGTATACAAAATTAATTCCATACTGATGGAGAAAAATTTGCGTTATTCGAAAAGGGAACATGGTTCCCTTGGGACTTGGTACTGGGGTATGTAAAATCAATTCTAAATTCATGGAAGAAGATTAGGGTTATAAGAAAAAGGGGGGAAAAGTACAAACTTACTTTTTCTTGCCACATATTCCTGGAAGTGTTTGTGGAAGAATACTGGAACTTGGTATGGAGTTGTGTATACAAAATGTATCAATTGCTCATTGAAAAAATCTGAGTTATTAAAAAAGGACGCATGTCGCCTCCCATACATACTGAAAACTTCTTAATACATAATAAGTATTTTAAATTTGTTATGGAGATTTATTTTATAAGTGCCGTACTGACAGAATAAATTTTATTAAATGGAAAAGGGAGAGCCGGGTTCGGCCTTATAATCTAAAGCTCTCTTGAGGCATTTGCTACAGTAATGAGAAGTGGTATTTTATCAAGGCCAGGTTACTAAATTTGAGTTGGAAATATTAGAACCCGCCGTGGAACCTCCAAGAAGGTTACACGTTCACGCGTCTTATACCTGGAACTATTTTAAGGTAAACTTAGAGGGATTGATATCTTTCGTATGCCTAGTTCGCAGACGAGATTTTATAATTTCATAGTTTTAAACGGCCTAAATACCTTAACGCGCTTAAAAAATAACGAGATATAACGAAATGGGCACAGAAATAAAATCTAACATCATTATATTATTTTTCATAATTGTATAAAAGCGCGGGATGAAACCCGCGGGTATAAGCTAGTATTTCATATAACTTGGGTATAAAATAGTTCAATTAGCCTTCTCAAATAGGTGGCAAACCTATTCAAAATATTTTCAAACTACTACCTTCTTAAACCTCTTTTGTATGACACCCATATAGCGATTTACTTACCAAATTCCTTTAATTAAAATTTAGTTACATTTTTTTTAACATGTGGCAATTCTCCTATACGTAGTTAAGTTATAAAGCCTTTTCAAAACCATTTCGATTTATACCCATATTTATTAATTGATTCAACTTTTTAATCAATTTGAGCTTAATTTTTTAACGGGTGGCAACTTTTTTCGAAAAAGTAAAGCCTTCTTGAACATCCACACCCTAAAAACAGGTCCTCCTACACGCAGTTAAGAAATAAAGTATTTTCAAAACTACTGCAATTGGTACCCAAAAGGTAAATATTGGTTTAACTATTTAAATAATTTGAGTTTAATTTTTAAACAGCCCTATTCAAACACTTTAAAAATATTCTACACGTTCAAACTAAAGACCTCTTAAGATTTATTCGCTTGACGTCCATATTTTTATACTTCATATAAATTAGAATTTTCAAACAGGTGACAACCCTCTTCAAAATGTTTACATACTGCTACGAACTTAAAATTTATTGTGTGGCATCTACAAATATTTATATTACCTAATCCCCTTAATTCAAACTGAATTTGATTTTTTAACAGGTGGCAACCCTCATAACGTTAACTTAAGAAACAAAGATTTTCAAAATTATTTCCATTTATGCCCATTTTAAAATAATTGGTTTAGCTTTTTAAATAATTTTAACTTAATTTTTTAAAAGGTGGCAACTCTTTTCGAAAAAGTTAAACCTTATTGCACACCCAAAATCAGAGCCCTTTGATTTGACACCTCACTTTTGAAAATCGAACGAACGGTGTGAATCTGATGGCATTGATTATTAAATTATTTGAATGCAATTTTTTATCAGGTGGCAACTCCTTTCGAAAAATAAAGCCTTATTGCATATCTACAGGTCAAGCGCTTTAATTCTGCACGCCATTTTTGAAAATCGAGCGAACGGTGCAGAACAAAAAATGCCATCGCGTATTACGGGAGTATTTGAACTTAATTTCTTAACAGGTGGCAACTTTTTTCGAAAAAGTAAAACCTTTCTGAACATCCACACTCTAAGTCCTTTAATTTGGTACCTCTATTTTGAAAATCAAACGGACGGTGCGGATCTGAGGGCATTGATTAGCAAATAACTTGAGTTCAATTATTTAACAGATGGCAACTCTTTTCGAAAAAATAAAACCTTATTGCACATCTACAGGCCAAGCGCTTCAATTTGACATCTCCTACTTGAAAATTGGGCGAACGGTACAGATCTTTTATGCTGCACAAATAATCCGTTCGCGTATTATATATATAGATAATTTGAATTTAACTTTTTAAACGGGTGGAAACCCTCCTCAAATGCTTTAATAATATTTCTCATGTTTAAACTAAGATTCGCTAATACTTTTTTGTTTGATAACTTTTTACACAGGTGGCAACCCTCCTCAAATTCATAAAATATATTCCCGATGTGCAAACTAAGATTTCGTAACACTTTTTAGGTTTATATCGATAATTAAATTAAATTAGACTTTTCGAATAGGTGGCAACCCTATTAAAAATATGTTCAATCTAAAATCTTCTTAAATTTCTTTAGTCTGACACCCATATTGTTATACCTATTTTAATTACCCCATTACCTTAATTCAAATTGATTTAATTGTTTAAACAGGTGGCAACCCTCCTACACGCAGTTAGGAAATAAAGTATTTTCAAAATTACTGCGATTGGTACCCAATTAGTATAAATTGATTTAACTATTTAAATAATTTGAACTTAATTTTTAGACAGGTGGCAGCCCTCTTCAAACACTTTAAAAATATTCTACACGTTCAAACTAAAGATCTCCTAAGATTAATTCGCTTGACGTCCATATTTTTTATACTTCATATAGATTAGACTTTTCAAACATCTCTTCAAGATGTTTACAAACTACTACATACTTAACCTTTACCGTCTGCCACAAATAGATATTTCTATTACCTAATTCCCCTAATTCAAATTGAATTTGATTTTTTAACAGGTGGCAACCCTCATAAAGTTAAGTTAAGAAACAAATATTTTCAAAACTATTTCCACTTATGCCCATTTTGTAATATTGGTTAAGCTTTTAAAATAAATTGAGCTTAATTTTTTAAAAGGTGGCACCTCTTTTCGAAAAAGTTAAACCTTATTGCGCACCTACAGCCAGAGCCCTTTGATTTGGCACCTCACTTTTGAAAATCGAACGAACGGTGTGGATCTGATGGCATTGATTATTAAATTATTTGAATGCAATTTTTTATCAGGTGGCAACTCCTTTCGAAAAAATAAAACCAGTTTACACATCTACAGGCCAAGCGCTTTCATTTTGCACCCCATTTTTGAAAATCGAACGAACGGTG